TTTATTCTATCGTTGATGTCGAGTATAATCTTGTACGAGAAATATTTATGGAAAAAAAAAAGCATTATTCCGAACTAAATAATTAGCTTTCTAAATACTTATAAACACTGTAAAAAATTTTGGATCAATCAAAACTCTGATAACCCATAAGTTTTACAGTAATATTTACTGTGAAATTTCTGTAATAAAATAAATATAACTGTAAAAATTACAGTATAACATTTCACAGTAAAAATGGGTTTCGCTGTAAAATGGATGTTACGGTGGGTGCACTGAAGGTGCTTGTACTTTTTACCTTAATTAGGATCAAAATTTTTTACAGTGAAGATTTCAGTTCTATGTGATTTCTAATTTTCTAATGGAAGTGAATTGGAACATATTGAATCGCTCAAAAAACATATTTAATTAAGATGTTTAAATCAAAATCTTATTGACGGGCAATGGAAAGGCACATAAACTATACAGAATTGCATCTCTTATTAATAAATAAACTCTGTTACCAAAATATTTATCGACTACCGCTTTCATAGATTAAGAAACTTTGTTTGGATTTCAAGTAAACTATATTTTTGGATGCATTATTACTGTCTAGAAATTATTATTCATAAATCCTTTTTTTTAAATTTTAATTCCTACTTTTTTAATTCCTACTCTTTTTTATTCATCCACTCAAGATCAAATACATTTTTTTAAAACTATCGATGACACTTGATGTTAATACAGTTTTTTCAAATATTAATTCATTCATTAAGAAAGGAATGAGCGAAAAACGGAATGGAATTTTTCTGATGGGTTAAGCGTTGGTCATTGTTTTAAATTTTACTATAAGCCGTTCAGTTTTTTCGCATATTATAAAATAACACCAATGATTTCTAACTTATAGCTCTATTTGAACAAAGAAAAAAATGTATTGCGCACATTTAATTATTTTATGTTCGCTGTGACAGATAAATTCAATAAAGAACATTACGTGGTAGCACGTGTCGTCCACGTCACCAAATTTATACTTCTATAGTTATCTGATACTACGCGCCTTTTTTTTCCTCCCCCCCCCCAATTCCTCCTATAAGTTTCACAATCTTATACATATTTATATATCTTGTTCAAATTTACAATGACTCAATAAAATATTTTTCATTCAACTATTGAAGCTCAAGTACATTTTTTAAAATTTGTAGAGCAGTGTTTCCCAAAGTGTGGCACGCGTACCCCCAGGGGTACGGGAACAGTTTAGTGGGGGTACGCGTTCTAATGCGAAATATCTTGCAACAAACGAAAATTTCATTTAAAAACAAAGCTAGCCATGAAAATTTACGATTGCGTATTTTCCTTTTGGCTAGTTTTGCAGAGTTAACAGTTAATAATTAGTGGTGTCAACAGCCAGTTGTGATTTTTTACTTTCGTGCAATTTTTTTATAGTAAAAAATACATTAATTTTTTTATGAGTGGTACGCAGCGTTACGAAAAATTTAGAAAGGGTACACAAAAGTCATGCGTTAGGGAAACACTGTTGTAGAGGATGATTACTTCATTTTAATTAAGTTATTTCAAATGCTAATTCATTAATTAAATTTAATTAATTTCAGTTTTCTGTAAGAGAAAAAAGTTTCTAATCATTTAATAAAAAGTAACTAAAATAAAATTTTTCGTTGTTCGCCTAAGTAGGGATTGACTTTTAAAAAAATGTAAATTAGTTTTTTTTATTTTTTATTTATTTCTTTAAGAGACGCTAAATTTAAATCTGCATAACACTCCTTATTACTGATGCTGTGAAGCTTTGTTGATATTTCTCTGAAATCATCAACTGGGACATTTTAAATAAAGCGTTTCATTCGATAACTAAATAAATACGGTGATCAATACTGATGATGTACTTAAATACTTATAACTAAGTTGTAAGCTTTTGCAACATTTATTAAATCTATTACACTCAAAAGAATAATCTTTGTAAGCATTGAAATGAATCAATTATTTTATTTAAATCATATAATTAATCAAATAAATAATTTTAACAGCATGCACTAAGATTTCCCCCCCAAAATCCGGAGTAAATCATTCAATACCGAATTTCTGAAGCTCAGAAGCAAATAATCACTACAAATAATCACATGCAACGTTACGCAGCGATCTACATTAGTGTAACATTGTTTGAACATAATTTATAACACAATTAAAATGTAGTAGCCAATATTAACGACAACACGTTATGTCACGTTTTCGCCTTTTCTTTTTATGTATATATACAACTTGAACTTCTTGTTCTGGTTTGTTGTTTTCAGTATTTCCAACAAAGCGGCCTTGTTATACGCGATCTTTCTTTTTCCAAGTCTTCTATTTATTTTTTACTGTTTTTTTTATTTTTATATTTTACGTAATTTGAAAATTGTTCCAATTCCATCGGTCTAAGTAGATCTTTATTATCAAGAACTGAATTGATCCTGCATAACAAAAATTAGCTATTCTAAATTCTTCATAAATTGATCAAGGAAAAAAATATTTATATATATATATTTTTAAGGAAATGTTCTTATACTATTATGCATTAAAATTTCACTGAAGATGTCAATTAGTGCTAATCTGACCTTTTTGTTAGTTGAACAAATCGGAAAACTATTTTTATGAAGCATAGAAAAAATAAAATGTAGAAATGTAGCATTTCCTAATTGCATCTCAGACAAAATTGTCTAAGCACTTCAGGAAATGTTTATGGCACAACTTGAAAGATCGCGCTTTTTAAAATCATGCGAAATGCGGGTCGACTAAAATGAATTACTAACTTCTTTCTGGTTTTGATATGAGAGATTTTCAAATCATTCACTATTTATATTAAAATTCAATTCGATATTGAAATCGTTCAATGGTTATCATGAATCCAATATTTATATACAAATGCGTTTTTATGGTGGTGTTACTGAAAAAGCATTTAACTTCAAGTGCTCATTTCGGTTAATGCAAATTTTGAGTGGGTAAAAAAGGATACCTTTTCAAAAAGCTTCAAGTGTGATCAAAGCCAACAGTTTTTCTATGTAAAATCTTCCAACAAAAAAAAGAAAAGTTAGATTTAAAAATTTTTTAAATTTTTACATTCATTTTGATTGGTAATCTATAAGAAATATATGAATAATATGTCTATAAGACAAGAAAAAACTTTTTTAGAAAAACCTCGTTCTCCTTTTAAAAAGTGACTACTTGCACCCGCAAGTAGTCAACTTGTACAAATTCCAAACCTGTTCTTTCTTTAGTATTTGTTTCAGTTAAAAATAAAAAATCTTATTAACAAGAAGACAGAGACATCAACTTCTAAGTTTTTCTTAGGGAGGAAAAAGTTAGTAGTGTCAGAGAATTGAAAAAATTTTAAATTTCTTTTTTACGATTTCTGCAGAACTTTAAGCAATGTCAATTAATTATCTACCATTTTATGTTCAGAGTGCTTAGGGGTTATATGGCAACAGGTCGCATAAGAATTAAACTGTAGTTTACGATAAATATTAGTCATTTTCAATAAAAAAAAAATCTTTTATTTAATAAATTTAAGTAAAAGAAAACAATTTTTTCGTAATAGATTTGAGACAAATATGTTCTGTTCATAAAATGGAAACATTCACGACAGTTTTTTTTAAAAATTTTATTACCGACTTTGAGCCAATCCAATTTTGAGTTGACGACTGTCAACTCCCCTTAGTCGTGTAATTTTGAATCCAACCTTAGAAAACAGGGAAAATCCTGGATCAAGAATTGGAACAAACTAGCTTTGGCGGGAGGACTTTTTGGAAGAACCCACAATTGCGTTACATGGAGAGGAAAACCACGAAAATCTAGTGCTAGCCTGATGAAAAGTGTGTCCTAACCTATGATTCATCTACCACTGAGGATATTTTACACCAACACTGTGACTGGTGAGCAGAATTCATATCAACCAGCTGCGAACTACCAGTTATTCGTATCGAACCTGAGTCAACTCATTGGGAGGCGAGCGCTCTATCCTCTGAGCCACCGCGACTCAGAGGATGCATGGAGACAGGGGAAACATCTGTCGTGAATGTCTCCATTTTATAACCCTTACGTTTTCACTAAGGATTTTACCATTTAATTAACACTCATTATAAGGAAATGCGGGCTGTTAATTACTACTCACAATTTATTTATTTGGAGAAGTAATATGTAATTACAATTTAACGTATGGATGGATGTTTAGAGTATATATTTACTTATTTTAAAGTATATATTGTTTATTGAAATGTATATTTAAAGTATATATTATATTAAAGTATAAATATCAAGTAATTTGAAACGAAATAATTCTAAGACAATAATCAAATTTTTATTACAAAGCATTGGGACAAACTTGCTTTACTAGCCAAATTAATCTTATTTTATAATCAATTAATACAAACAAGCATTTTGCAAAGGCATTATTTTAACCAACATCATGCTTTATATCGATGTATAGTATTAATTAAAATTTCTGGGAGTACAGAGATCTTACTGTACATGTATATTTGGATATATTTTCCCAATTTTTCCTAAATATTTATAAAGCAAGTTAACATATTTACGGCAATCAGGAGGGGAAGGCGTTAGTTTTGCAAGATGAAAATTTAAACAAATTCCTTTTTTTAATACGTTTCTTTATTTTTACACACACCTCGTTGAAAATTAGTTTGCAACTAAATTTGTAAAATTGAATCTAAGAAATAAGGGTATTGCACAAAGATTTACCAGAAAAAAGTTAATGATGTTGAGGATAATAAACAAGTTTATCATGCACAAATTTTTTAAGTAATCGATTTTTTTTTCTTCTTTTGTTCTTATCTTAATCGAATAAATCATCAGAGTTACAATCAAAGGGGCCAGTTTCTTTTAAGCAGACGATAGATTTTTTTTTTCACGATATCTAGCATAAAAGAAACGGTCGTCTGCATTCTACTTTACTGTATTGAAAGAAATAAGAAACGTTGCAAAGAAGAGGAGAGAGAAAAGATGAAATATAATTGACTTACATCATGAAAGTCGGCCATTTCTGTGGTCATTTCCGAGCCGTAATACGTCCGCAGGCCTTCGGTGGACGTGCAGGCGGTCGTATCGACGGCCACACACGCGGACATGGAAGCGGTCAAAACAACTCTTAAGCCTAACGCCTTGCTCGGAACCTGCTAAACGCCTTGCCGGCACTTCTAACGCCTTTTCGGATACTAATGGCAAAATATAAGGAAAAAGATACCCGACTTCATAACAGAAGAGCGGGTGGGAGGTGGGGGAGTAAGTTTATTAGAATTGTGCTGAGAGAGGGGGGGACGGCTTGTTACATGGCGAGGGGGTGGTCTGCGACGCACGCCGCCAATCAACTGTGCCGCAGGGTGATTCTCCAATGGCACGCGATGCCGCTTTGGGACTGCCTTCTTCCTGAAAAAGAAAGACCCGTGATGACTCTTAAGAAACCACGTGCGATACGCGCTTTTTTCTTTCTTTTTCTTTCTTTTCTCTTCTTTTCATCTTCGTTTCGATTGATCTTTTCTTTTCTTTCAAATCGGTGGATTCGTGAATGAATCCATTTGCGTTCGATTGACTGGTGTCCACATTTTTAAATTATTGTATTTGTGTTTAGAATAGGTAATGCGATTTGCTGGAATTTGAATTTGGTTGCAAGAGGAAATACGTATTTAAACTTCTTCATCTGATAATGTATAATTTAGAAAAGAAAGAAAGAAAAACAGCTATTGCTTTTCTTTTTGCAAAATAACATTTTTCTTCCATTTACTTGCATTTTATTGTTTTTGAAAGTTAGTACTCATACTTTTGTTCGAAATGTATGCAAACGATGTTGATAACTTTCAACGAATGGGGGAAACAATCCTTACTTTTTTCTATTAAAAGATTTTTAAATAAATAAAATAAAATCTTAAAATTTTTTTATTTATTTATTTTTTAATAAGTGAAGTTTTTCATAAATTATCAAAAAATAAATTTCATAAATTATTGCTCGATAATTATACTATGATTGAACTTTACTTCAAATTGAACTTTGGATCTCCAAATGGAAAATATGGTTTCAAATTTTGATAATAAAAAAAAATTAACTCATTAACACGTCGAATGCCATAGGGACCACCGGTGATCGGCACTGAATTTGTCTGTACCTCCACGGGGTCACCGGTGACCGGCGAAGCCAAGATTATAAGAATACCGTAATTCGAGTAAATTTTAAATACTTTTAATTTTTTTTTACTATTATTGTTACTAAAATGGTTTGAAGAAATTGATGCAATATAGAACACAAAAAAATCATTTTGGCCAGACGGGCAAGCCAAGTAAAATTAGCGTTGCCTTCAACGTGTTAACAGAATGGTTTTTTTTAATCAGGAAATTTAGTGAACTCCGATACCTAGTGAATAAATGTGCCATCGTGCATAGTAAGATAAATTGAATAGCAAAACTGCGTAAAGCAAAAAAAAAGACAAAAAAATAAAAATAAATATAAAAAAAAGGCATTAAAATCAATTAATTTCAACAAAAAAATGAACACCCATTATTTTTATAAAAAAAATTTCTTTTCTAATTTATCGAAAAATAAAAAGCCTTACTTAACGTCTTTAATTTTTATAAAACACTATGACATTAGCTTAACGTTAAGAAATTTTCCTTGAATTAGCTTTTTTTTTTATGCATTTCTTATTTCTATTAAGTAACTTTCATAGTTTAATTAAAATTACTCTAATAATCACTTTGCTATAAATTTATTGCGCGTAATATACCGCTCATTTCTAATAGAGTATTGTGAATTTTGAATGATGAAAAACAAAAGTAATGACTAACTGAAGTAAATGACAAACGCCTTCGCTCGGCGTGAACGTTTTGCTAACACCCCACGCCGACGACGAAAAAAGTGTTATGTTAGGACATTAAGCTAGAGCGTTAGCAGAAGTTCGGTGATACAGATAAACAATTCGAACGAGGAAGAAAATAACATTTTATTGCTTATCGGCTCTTTTTTTTTTTAATATACATATTTTTAAAGTAAACTATCAGAATGAACTAAGAAATGAATGTAAAGCAAGTTATATTTACATACATAATACTTTAAAGAAAATAACTTTTACCTATTTATTTATTTTTTATAGTTTTTAAAAAAAAAAATTCATTTTTTTTGTTTTTAATTTTTTTTCTTCTTTTTTATTTATTTTTTAAAATTTATTTATTTATTTTTTTTTTTACTTTTTACTTTTTTTTTAAAACTTTTTTTATTTCTTTATTTTATTACCATTTTTATTTTATTTCTCTATTTTATTTCTATTTTTATTTTTTTTAATTGTATTTTATTTCTTATTATTTTATTTTTATTTTATTTTTATTTCATTTTTATTTTATTTTATTTTTATTTAATTTTTATTTTATTTTATTTTTATTTCATTTTTATTTTATTTTATTTTATTTATTTTTATTTTATTTATTTTAATTTTATTTTTATTTCATTCTTATTTTTATTTATTTTTTTAAATTCCTTTTATATCAAATATTATTTTACGTATTTTGTATAATACAAGATTTCCTTTCTCATAAATAATGCAGTAGTTATTTATTAATTTTTATCAAACAAAACCTGAATTCATCAATAATTTATTTGCTATATTTGTTTATGAGTAATATTAGTTTATAAATTTAATCGTCATTTCCAGTAAATAAATAATAGCAATATATATTCAATGATGCTATAATTTGCATTCGATATTAAGTGATAATTTGCTAATTTTATTAAAAAATAAATACGATTCTGCTTAATATGTGAAAGGAATATTATTTCGATAAAATATTGTGCCAATTAGGTACATTATTTATTTACAATGAATATTTACTTTTGAACTTCCTCGTTTTACGTTAAGTAAGTTAAGTTCGTTTAAGTACGTTGAAAGTTTTAATTGTGAATATGCTGTTAAATTATTATTTTCGAACAAATGTATCAAACAAGTTGATATTTTGACCAAATAAATGAATAACATATTTTATCAGTACAAATACCATAACTGTCGCTCTACTGGTAGCAAAATGAGTTGAAATTCGGCCTATACTGAGAAGGTCATGTTTAATTATGAAATTAATGTATTATTTTTTTTTCTTTCTAAATTCTTATTTGTGTGAAAGATATTGCGATTTTATTTGCTCTTTTGTTTATTTATTTATTTATTTTGCTTTATGTTACATTTTGTTTTGCTAAAACCAGAAATTACAAAGGCGCATAGAAAAGTGCACAAAAAGTTTGGCGGAGCAAAAAAAAATTATGATTCTATTGTTAATTAAAGAATGTTAAACTTGTAGTAAAGAAAACCTTTTCCGTTGAAATTCAACTGTTGATAATAAATTTAATGTGCTGATAGGATCATTTTGTGTTATAATTCTAACAAGGTTTTGTTTTTTTCGAAATATCTATTTATTTGAAAGTTATTCCGAATTGAAATATTTTTTTTAATTAAATACTGACCGTTTATCCATTGTTGTAGAAAATTTATGTTTCTCCCTCGAGATCATTATTTCTTTATTTTATAAGCACGTACGCGTGTCAATCATAGAAAGAAATAACGAATGATAAATGAGCATCAATTACGGGAGTTGGAGCAAGAAGGAGAATTGTTACAACTAAGCTTACCAGCTAAAGTTAGTAGAAATTTTTATTTTGTTTTGAGTATGTCTAATGATGGTGTACCAGTTTTACATCGTTGTCAGTGCATTTTTATTGGCCGGAAAATCACGTGGTAGGATCCAGTTTTTCCTCATTCATTTCCATAATGTTTTGGTTGTCATCAGCATAAAACTAATAAGTCATAAAGGTATTGTTTTTCTATAAAGATTTTTGTATCCTTAATTTAAAGTTATTTTCCTGTGCGGCTATTAATTTAATTATTGCTTTTTTAATTCAATTTTCGAGTTTAAAACTAAGAGAATAGTTGTATTTTTTTATTATTATTATAATGTAATATAATGTAATGTAATTATAACTATATATTGTTATAACAATATAATTGTTATTTTCAAAAATGATTACTTAGAAAAACTACTTCTGCTTACCAATAGATCTAAATATTTATAATACNATTATACAATTTTATTAAATAATATTTACCCAGAGGAAATAATCTTGCTTCGTAATCATGATGATAATATTAATTTTTTGGATTTGAGTATTGTAAAAGAAGAAAATATCTGCTTAGTTGATTTATACGATAAAAGAATTTATTTTAATATTAATACTTGGAATTCTAATGTTTCTAAATACATCTATTTAAATACCATTTTTAATCAAACGAATAGAATTAAAAGAATGTGTAGTAATGTTTATTATCCAAAGAACAAATTGACAAACTCTTTCAGAATTTGATAAATAAAAATGAAAAACATTCGATACCCAACTAAAGTAATCAAATTCCATATAAAATCATTGAGTTAATAATAACAATATCCAAATTATAACAATATTATAAAATATCTATTATAGCTTTATAGATTTCGTTTTATATCTTGTTCTGTTTTTTTTTCCTTCTTTACATTTAATTTTTTGTTTTTTACTTGATATTTATTACTTAATGTGTTCTATTTTGTTTATAAAAAAATACACATTTTGAGTGCTCCTAATGCATTGAAATATCTTGCTTTGGCTATATTGATAGATACTATATTAGAAAGCACTCCTTTTTGCGGATCTAAACGTGAGAGGTGATGAAAAGATTATAACTTTCTTTATTCCCGGATTTTTATTGAAATAGTTTTAAAATTTTTTTTCATATTGTGTTATTTTGTTTTATTTTAATCATTTTTTTTTCATCAGACAGCAAAATGGACATTTGTTAGAAAATTAGTAGAGAATAAATGAGCAAAAGGTTCCTATTGCAATGCACAATTGTTTTTAATTGTGTAATAAATATAATTATATTCTAATTTTTAAATCTCTGCGAAATGTATCAAGAGATTTTATCACGTATAATTTCTATTCGCTCTTGTACTGTTAAGCCTATTTCCGAATATTATTCATGTTTATATTCTCTCTGTACTACTGGTAGGTTTAATTTAAAAACTAAGCTTATTTTAAGGATTAATGAATGTGTGCATCCTATATTGTACAGTAAAAGTAACTTATTATTTGATCAGAACTTATTTGTCCGTCTAATAACTATATTAGACCTTCAGAATGATTCACCTTGCTGTCATATATATTTCTTTTCTTCTTCGCTTTAAATTACAAACA